CAACAACAACAACAAAAACAACAACTTCGAAGAGCGATCTACTCCAAGTTTTGAAGCAAGAGTGGGCGAAAACCCCACAATTTAAAATTGACGAGATGGTTCTCACGATGCCCCAAAGGATCAACGAACTCCACGAAGCGAAAGGAAGATCTACTAGATATTAATTATAAATATATCAATTCATGTGAATATGACTGAAAAATTTAATTTTTTCTGAAAAGGTGGTGTCTCTTTACTTGTGACCACGCTGTGTATGACGATATATACATAAACCTTAAACCTAAAATAACTATTGAATAATAGATAATGCCAGCCCCAGTGGCACAGTGGTATGTCTGCGGACTTACAACGCTAAAATTCGGGTTTCGATACCAGTGGTGGGCAGAGCACAAATAGCCCATTATGTAGCTTTGTGCTTAATTCCAAACAAACAAAATGTATTGAGCGAAACACATCTTTGGCGGTGGTTATAGTAAACATAGTGTGGTTGAAATGCTGTTTTTACACTTTTTTTCGTTTTGAAAAACCCTAAGGGACCGAATAAAAAATATAGTGTTATAATCATATAGACCTAATACTAATGTTTTATGACATGTATAATTAATCATAATCATGCTCCAACATATAAAAGTCGTTCAAATAGCAATATTAATTTTCTTTTTTTTTTGTGAAACATGAATACACACTTAATACGTTCTTAGTTATCATGGGATAATTTTGTCTATGAAACTGTGTTTACAAAGAGAACTCTTTAAACATAAAAAATAATCATATTGTTTCACTGTTTCAAAATTTTAATAAAATATTCAAACATCATTGCTGTATTTACATTATTGTACCCTTGTGATACAAACTATTCTTACCTTCTTCCTAACATTAAATAGATAGAATAATCTAGATATAAAAATCAAGTTAATCGCAGATTTTTTGTTCATGTTCCTCTTAATTTGTTTATCGCGACTCAAAATAAGAGGTGTGTAAGATTTTTATAACAACTTTAAGGCTAATTTATTTCCAGTAGTTCGTCAGTTTTTAGCGTTTAACCCTATCTAGAAGAACGTCATGCACCAGAGGACGCGACTAGTAATTGACATGTTAATTTGGTGGTGTCCTATGAGCATGAGGAAGTTACTTGTTGTCAGGGGAATAGGGTGTTTAGAACGCTAACAGCCTTTATTGTTTACTACGTCAAAATCTGATAGTGATATATTACAATGTCATCAATTTTGAATAAAATTAGTTATTTGAGAGAGTTGTCATTGCCTTTCAATTGCTATGAAACAGGTCATACTTGGACTCCCTCGTGCACCGATGCTGCTCTTACTATTGGCGCTACTACATTTAGAGAAGCATTAAAGATATATGGTTCTTTGTATGTGGTAAGTGCTTTTATAAATTATATTGTTTGTTTGTAATTAAGCACAAAGCTACACAATGGGCTATCTGAGCTCTGCCCACCACGGGTATCGAAACCCGGATTCTAGCTTTGTAAGTCTGCAGACATATCGCTGGGCCACTGGGGAGCTATAAATTATATAGTATTAATATTATGCTTCCAATAAAAAAAAACTAGAAGTATAATACTGTGTAGCTTTTGAATTTGATCAGTACTTGTAAATTTAATCAGATTTCTTAGATATAATTATAAACTAAATATAGTTATAATACATTACACTTTACAGTTACTTAATCCGAGTTAGATCATAGATGTTTTGGTGATAACTTTTGTTTTATGTACTTTACCTTATTTTTCTTCTCAAAATATCTTTTGTCATAACAAAAGCTTTCAGCAAATCTCAGTGAGTAGATATTGCTTGCATTTATAATTACAGTTTGCTGTTTAACATCAGTGAAAGAAAAATACATTAATACTTGTTAATTCGGTGATTGACAGCTTTCTTTCTGTTATTATTATATCATAAAATGTTCACACACACAATTTGTAATTGTTTGTTTATTGTTAAGCACAGAGCTATACAATGGGCTATCTGTGCTGTGCACACTATGTATATTGAAACCTGAATTTTAGCCAATGGGAGACAGTTTGTAACAATACTAAGTTAATAGTGATTATATTATTACAATTATATTAATGTTAAGCATAAATTTAAGTAATACATTTTTCATTAATTCATATGCAAGTAGAATTAATAGTTTTGTACTTAATTAATAACTGTCAGTATTAATAAGCAGATCTTCCACAGTTTGACATGTTTTTAGACCCCTTCTAAGTAAACTAAAATAATTAATATTACAGAATAGAAATTATAATTTTACTGTAAATGTCCTGATCTATGATATAGCTTAGAAATTAAGACAATTTTTTTCTAGATAACAAGGTCTAGCCCAAATAAGTATTTGGAGTGTGATTAATTTGTTTAATTGTTAAAAGTAATTAATTTCATCAAGGCAAAATATATTGCTTCAGTAAATGAGTTTTGAGGTTGATACAATTGTAATAAGTGAGATATTTATGAAAATATTGGGTTAAGTTGTAACTTGCAAGAGGATCAGAGTTACTTGGTGGAGTATGTAGATTGTATAACTTATTTACTGGGAAAAAATTGGAGTTTGCTTTGAGTACATTGCAGAGTAAAAGAAGCAGGTTTGGCGAGGAAGTTAAATAAGTAAGAAGAGAAAAATCTTAGTCAAGATTGTTCTTGAGAAAAAATGAATAAAAATACCTGTTTTACTAAAATGTAGATTAGAAGGTCTAAGCTAAGAAAACGTGTTTAAGCCAGATGTGTCAGCTCCTTTGGCATTGAACAGGATTTTGGCAGAATTGATTTTTGACTTTTAATGTATTTTCTGTTCATAGTTATCTAGTTTTTTTTTTTTCTGTTTATTTAGAAATGACTAATAGCCACTTTTGTCTATATTTTTAAAGAAATTTTCTTATTTTTGTGATTGTTTTTCATTTCTAGGCATAATTATTTTCTCCATTTACTTCTATTCTACATTTGTATATATAATTCAGGTCATATAGACTTCTGAAATACTTAAGTTGTTTCTTTTGAGTTGATCTTGCTCTGTAAACAACAAAGTGACTTTTGGTTCTGAATGTACTTGATACTGTGCATTACGTGTGTTACTTTACCCAAAGTTATTTGCTCTGTAAACAACAAAGTGACTTTTGGTTCTGAATGTACTTGATACTGTGCATTACGTGTGTTACTTTACCCAAAGTTATCTGCTCTACTGCCTTTAACATGACTCATTGACCAAAAACAAAGTAACCTACATAAGTTTTGCTTTCTCATCAAAAGCCAGATTTGCTTATTGACAGTGGTTCTGTAAATTTCATACTTTTGGTTTGTTCTGTATGAATTCTGAAGTCAGTGTTAGCCCTGATCTTAATATTTAAGTTTCTTTTTTTGGTAGCTTTGCTCATGCAGTCGTATAACATGCAGGGAGATCCCAGGGCTACATTGTCATTTTCATTGATCAGTTATTATGGTTGTCAGTGCCATATTATCTGATGTCCCAGTCGGGTTTCTAAGTTATGTGGATGCTTAATTTATGGGATGATTACCATTTTCTCATATTGATGAACAAGCTTGATCTTTTGTCCAGGCTTATCACCTTATTTAACTGAGGAACTGAATTTGTGTGCTAGTCCAGATCTTGAAGAAGCTTCTGCTGGTCTTATTTCATGCCCCACTTTTCAATGTATCAATAGGGCTGGTAATAATGGATTTAATTATAATGAAATGGCACTGTTAAGTAATAGATTTCAGCTTTTGGTTTGTGCAGCTGATGAACTAGAGGAGGGACAGATAGGAATGAGAATGAAAAACAAAGGGTTATTATTATTATAGGAGATACTTTACTATGATTCATGGATAGGATAGTCTGTGGGGTAAATAAAGAGAAAAGAATTAAATTATGCTATCCAGGGGAGGATATTGCTGACAAAACAAGTGAACTAATAAAGGATGCTAATCGTAATAGAGGCTAATGATGTAGGGAATAATACATCAGAGGAGCTGTGAATTGGACAACTGAATTAATTAGACATACTGATTAAATGTGGAAAAAGTTTAAATTCTTAAATATTCAAGATAGGGATGTTCTTTATAGAAAAAAACAAATTGGCTCACAAAGGTTGAAATGAAAATGATGGGAGATTTGGAAGATTATAGAAGATCAAGAGGAAATTATGAAATAAGAAAAAAGTATATTAAAAAAGGTTTGTTGAAATTATAAAAATTAATAGTAAGGATTTCTTCAAATATTTTAAGGGTAAGCAGAATGTTAGGATGGGAATAGAGCCTTTGAGGGATTATACAGGAAGGCTAATATTTGATAATTATGGGATGGCTGGGTTATTAAATTTACTTTTTTTTCAGTTTCTACTAACAATTTTAAGCAATATTCCTCATTCTAAGCAGTTACTTGCTGGATGGAAATCACATTAATTCCAAGCTTGTTACAAAATAAAAAGGAAAGTTTGAGGAATGATAAAGCTCTTTGGCCAGATAATATTTACCCAAGGGTTTAGAATGAAGTTAAGGATTGGATATGTGAGCCATTTGCTACTGTTTTTCTAAGTTATTGAAAAGTGGGCAAAGACAAAAATTCCAAAAGTGTTTATATCTCTGTTTGGGACCTGTAAAAAATATATTTGTACCAAATCCCATGTAAATTGGCTGAAACATGGTGGAGTAATTATCAAAAACCATAAACTTGTGCTTTTTTTTGTGAGCTCTGACACCCATCCTAAAAAAAACTTAAAACGGGCAAATAAAAATTTTAAGCATGTCAGTGTGTTGAGCATATGAAAATTTATATTTGTGCCAATGTTCATGTTGTAAATATGACTGCAGAGGAGCCCAAAGTATGCAATTTTGGGTTGTTTGATCTTTGATCCCATAAAATCCTTAAAATAGATTAAATCATAAAAATGAAAAAGGTGTTTGGGTGTACTGGACCAAGGTATAAGAGTTATAATGTCATTGTTTAGGCTACATTTGGAGTTTTATGTTCAGTCTTGGGTTCCATGAATGGACAAAGAAGTGTTCATGCATCATGTCCGTATCATCTAGTGTGTAATAATTCAGCCAGCTGCAAGCAAGGACTGCATGATGTTGAAAGACACATTATCTCAAACTCTAAAAATGCTACATTTGTTTTTAGCTAAATTTTCTCACTCACAGAGGTTGACAGCTTTGCTAGTAGCCCTCCTCTTAACACTTTCTAAGAAATCAATGTCTTTTCTAAATGTGGGTTGAACTTAGTACTATACTTTGCAGCACCTTGATATTTTGTCAGTTTGGGTTGTTTTGATATTGATGGACCATCAGATACCAAAGCACTTGCACTTATCTTATTTACTAGGTTGACAACAACTGGCATGTGCTTGATTGTATTTGATAGCACATTTCATTGGTTATCAGGCAAACAAAGAACCAATTATTTGACACTATATACACGAACAGTACATTTGAAGGAAAGGACTAGGACTGTTCTAACAGTTTTGTTATGTGAATTACATGTTTAATATCATATAATGGTGAAAAAAGTCAAACACTAATAATCCTGATTTTATCAGTCAGGAGTGAAAAAGTGATCTGTGTTTAAAATGTGTGAGTTTCATGCAATATACATGAGAGTTGACAGATATGAACTTGAATGATACCTGGGATAGAAGGGTTGTGATAGGAGGATTGGTTAAGATTGCTGAACTTTTCTTTTGAAAAAGGAAGAGTTAGAGGGGATCTAAAGTATTTAAGATTGTTAATGGAATGAATAATGTAGATGTATCATCTTTTTTTTCATATTTAATGGTGATGATGGTAAGACTAGAGGACATGAATAAGTATTTTGGCAGGGTAGTGATCATCTACAGCTAAAACAGCTTTAATTTTCTAACAGGGTGGTTGGCCTTTGGAACAGGTTGCTTTCAGATATGGTAGATACAGTTAATTTAAGGGAAAACTTGATAAGTAACTCAGTGACAAGGGTTGGCTTTGAGGGTTTTAGTGGATAGGACAACTTGGATGGACCAAAAGGTTCCTCGTTGGCTTTTAATGTCATGTTAATTTTATTGGATCATCGATCTTGTTAATTCTCTGTTTCAGGTAATTTATTAGTTCTTTTTGTTTAAAGTGTCCCTGAGGTGCCAGACATTTCCATAGTGGCATTTAGGATTAGTCTTGTATATATTATATATATATATATATATTAATTTATTTTCTTTTGAACACTTAATAAATTGTTTGCTTTATCATCTTTCCCTTAAGACATATTTTTTACTTTTGCTTGCTCCAGGTAGGAGATGTTCAGGTACTATGTACTTGATGCATCACATACTTTATTATCTGAGAAGTTTCTTACTTATTTCCAGATAACCTTCTTATTTAAAACATAGGCGCAAGGT